AGATGCTGTATTTAAATGCTATTAATATCTGTCTTATTTTACTGTGTGTGTGTGTGTGTGTGTGTGTGTGTGTGTGTGTGTGTGTGTGTGTGTGTCAGGGAGGTATCTGTACGTGTTAGTCTGATTACACAGATTACCTCAAAGTCATTAAGGTCAGCATGTGTAATGGATCTATCTGATGCTTCATTAACTTTCACTGTATGTGTGTTTAATTATGCGACAGGTTCAGTGAGCACATGATGTGATCTTGTATTATGTCAGATGAATAACACGTCTGCTGCTCCCAATCATCGCACACATCGATTGATTTAGCAAGTATTGCGTGATGTAGTTCAGTTCACTGTCAGCAGCTTCAGACTGTAGAGGTCGCCTCTCCAACTGGAAAGGGAATACTCATTACACAACCTTACTTGTTACAAATCTAAATGATTTGTAGCAAGTAAGGTCTGATTTCCCTTTAAAGAGTTGCAATGTGACATTTCTTACAGTACTGGTCAGGATGGGTTCCAGTTCTCACTGGATTAGTGGTGACGGTCACTTAAAAGTAGCTACAGCTCTGCTTTAATCGTGATGTCATGCTTTGAATCCTCCTGTATCGTCACAAAAACTTGGCATAGTTGTTTTTGGCCTTTTTTAACTTTTATTGACAGATACAGTGAAGAAATGACAGGAAAGCAGAGGGAGAGAGAGACAGGAGAAGGCATACGGCAAAGGGCTGTGGGCCGGACGCGTATGCCACGTGGTCGCCTGCTCAACACACTGAGCTAAACTGGGCCAGTGTGTTTGACTGGATCTTAAATCATCGTTCTGACTGGCACACATTTTCATGGCTTAAACCTGAGTATAAAATGGTTTTCTGGCGAAATGTAGAACAAATCAGCACAATATCCTTTATTTCTATTGATTGGTGACTTTCATCTAATACCACCAGAAGGTCATAAACCACACGGTCCAGATGACACATGTGAACAATACATCGAGTCGGTCACTTGAAGCTGGTTATAAAAGTGATTCGGTGCACACGCAGTTTTATCTTCTATCACTTTTACAGCAGTAAGCTTGTCTGTAGGCTGCTACAAAACTGTGTTGGTGCCTAAAACTAAAATTATCTTTCTATCAGTTGAACAGGAGAGGATTTTATTGTGCAAATTACCAGTAACATACCAGTTTAAATCAGATTAAGGTTTAAAATGTGCGTGACTGTGGTTGTGACCAGTTTGAGTGACAGCTGCGAGCTGTCTCTGAGGTTTCACCTCAGAACTGAACCTCGTGTTTGTGGTTTTAGTTGTTTTGGAGGACTTTTGACACATCCTTTCAATCTAAATACAAACTCATATGTAATGTCACTGTGGCTTTGTTCTTGTTTTCCTGTTGTCACGTGTATCACTGTAGAGTTCAGTGTAGCATGATTCCTGTCTCAGGTGTAATTGTTAGTGCTTCCTTGTTAACAAAGCTGTAATTAGTTTGTAGACTCAAGGCCTCGGTTCTCACCCTGCAACAGTTTTGTCCTTGCGCGTCCTCACAGTGGCACCATCGATTGCTCGCAGATGAGGTGAGCTTCACCTTGGATCACTGCTCAGAGGGCGCTTACGTTTGTCCTGCAGACATTTGATTTGTAATCAGGTTAAGCTGCCGTTTCAGCTTAAACCCTGTTGAGTGTGACCCTTCACATCAAAGCCCAGTGAACACAATTTGAAGCCAATGGTGCAATCACTGAAAATATTTACATAGATTTGATTTGATTAACCAGTGTAAATGCAAAAAAAATTCAGTTTGTGCTACTTAGTTTTTTCTCTTTTTTCAGAGAAATTCAAATGAGGTTATAATGAAATATTTAAAGTTGAGTGTGGCGGCTAAAAGCTTCGTGCCATCTTGCACATTCTGAATATTTTAGTTCCCACCTCCTCAAAACCTCAGAACATCTTAATTAAAGTGTGTGTGTGTGTGTGTGTGTGTGTCCTGAACAGGATCAGGCAGGCAGACAGTGGAGTGCCGATGTGTCAGTGAGGCCTCTGGACTCTGTGGCAGAGCAGGTAACAATCCTTCACTTCATATTTGTTCATATATTTGCTTGTTTACCTGTCACTCACATACGAGTGACAGCAGGTGAATTTTCTCTTGAAATATTCCAAATGTGAGCCGATCCTTCATGTGGTCGATGAAAGCAAACAGCGTGGGAGTGTCCAGACTGCACCTCGTGTCTCTTTTTCTCTTGCTTTCTTTCACCATCTCTGTATGTTCTTATGAATGTGTTGCATGTTGTTAGATGTGTTATAAACCTGGATTCTCTTTTATTTTTAACACTTCATGAACAGCATCAGTGTAAACTGTTAACTTCTCTTATTTCTTATAGTTACAGCTTTTTTTTTTCTTGTAGCCTGACAGTAAAATTGAAACTATTCACAGACTTGTATTTGTTTAAATCTTTCTTAAGTAGAAATTTTCTGACATGTGAGGTGAGAAAAAATGTGTTGCTGACAAGAGAATAAGGTTTAACCCAAAGACTGAAATGCAGACAGAGAGACAGCAGTTGGCTGTTGTTTGCGTCTCAGGTGGATGGAAGATGAAAAGATGTGCGAGTGAAGGCAGATGAAGAGTCAGAGGTGAAGCAGGTGGTGGTAATTGATCGTCTGCGTTTCATGTTTGAAGTGAAGTTTACGGAGGGTGACAGACCTGTTTGTTCTGGTGAAGTTTATTATTTAAAGTTCTCAGTCAGAGATTAGAGGTTTGTAATTTTCAGTGTGAGACTACTGCAGGAATGCAGAGAAGTCTCTGAGGAATCACTGACTGACACTTTACTGTACCGATAGATCAGTTCTCAGTTTAAAGCCAAACCTTATCACAGCTTGGCATCTCTTTTTGTTTTAAAAGGCTTTCCTCTCCATCTCTCTCTCCACTGATCCCAGCACGCCTCCCATCCTCAGTTGGGTCCTCCTTCCATCCATCCCTCTGCTCGCAGCATGGGATCTCTTTCGCTTCCAGCAGCTCTCTTTTAACTTGTCTTGGGATGATACTATCTAACCTCAGTAGATGTTTCAACATAAAAATTTGCAAAACATGGTTATATTTCTAATGCTCATACTCTTCATCTCCTTCTTTAGTTCTAAAGACGCACATCTCTGTATTGTTATGATTTTGTGGTGTGATTAGACTTCTTAATTTGTGCTCCACCGCCTGCGCTGACTGTTCAATGGTAAATGGCCTGTATTTGTATAGCGCTTTTACTAGTCCCCCCTAGGGACCCCAAAGCGCTTTACACACCCAGTCATCCACCCATTCACACACACATTCACACACTGGTGGAGGCAAGCTACAGTTGTAGCCACAGCTGCCCTGGGGCAGACTGACAGAATAATTACATTATACATGATCTTTTCTGATGTGAGAAGTACACATGTATTGTGTGTTTGAGTCGATCATTTTTCCTTCTTCAACAGTTCAGTCTGGTTTGGTGTTCGGTGACTTTTTAGACTACAAACAGAATATCAGACCTTACCATGACACTGAGTCAGGAAAGACTGCGTTTCGAGTGATCGTGGAGTCGGGTGTGGGTGAGATGGTTAGGTTGGCGAGGCAAGAGTGGACAAACTGTGCTTGTGGGCAGGCAGATAGAAACGCAGACTGGTGGTGGAGGCAGAGTGAGAGCAGGCAGGTGAAGGCTGCTTTTGTGCTGCAGGAGGGTGGAGGCTGAGCTGGGCACACGAGAGAAGTGAAGAGCTGACAGTCAACTGAGTATAAGAGACTAGAAGCACTAAGGTGACTAAAGTGGGCAGCTACTAAGTTAAGTTAATTGCAGTTTTGAGCCCCAAATGTTCATCTGAGTGAAGAAATCTGATTATTTATTTATTATTTTATTTTATTTAGAAAGAGGGGCAATACATATTAATGAACATTTTAACAAATGTAAATATGCCAGATTATAGCCTTGGGCTAATTTCCATCTGCAGACCCTCTGACAGGTTGGTGTTAAACACAAGTTAGTAAAACATACAGAGACAATATTTACAGATCATGTGACAAGGACAACAACAGTGATCACATTATAGTAGAACAAACAATGACAAGAAGAGTGGACAACAGAGGACAATATAGATTTCGATAACGGAAACACATCAATTATATTGCACAAACCCCAGTATTGCACATGCGCTGACTGTCCTGATACAGACCCTGTGCACGAGAAAATGCTAACTTCCTGTTTTAAGACCGGACGTAGGGTTGTACATTTCCGGTAGCTTTACTTTGAGGTCAATCGCTACTGTGAAGATGGATTCCTAAATTATGCCCAAAATTGCGTAAAGTTACAAAGAGCAGAGGTGGGAACACTCACCACTGCTGTGTCATAAAAAAATCAAATGATCAATTTTGACGTTTGAAGAGTGCAGATCGATTGGTTGTTTACATCACTCAACACGAGCAGAACTGCATTACTGCATGCAGAAGACACATCGTCCACATCTCTGTATAGTGACAGTTCTTATGATTGAAACTGGGAAATGTTCAGCATTCAAACTACAGGTGAACATTAGTCAAAGGTTTTCCCATTATGTCGATATGCACAGGGCAGCAGCAGAGTATGGCAGTCTGAGTTTTACTCATTTCCATCACTGTAACAGAACACATGGATTTCCTCTGTTGTCTGTTTTGGTTCTATTTTCTCTGTTCAGATGTTTATCTTGATTGAGGTTTATGTTTTAGCTGGAAGAAAAACAAGCTCTGGTCTGAGATTATATATAGATCTGAAATTAGTGATAGTGATTCTCTATTTTGTCTCCGTCTCACAGTGTTGGACAGCAGACGGTGTGTTTGTAATGTTTCTGTGTGTAGGCCTTGTGTTCAGGCGCAGTTTAGTTAAACAGGATTAGGAAACTATGCTGTGCATTCTGACTGCGGCTTCCATGTTGTTTCCTCATTCTCAAGAAAACTGCATTAAAGTGATTTAAAGCCGTTTTCCCTCGATGGCAGCAAATACCTGAGCTGCTGTAGTTGTTGTCTTAAGCACAGACTGGACGTCGTTGTTAAATTGTTCTCACAAATCCTGAAGCAATTTCTTTTTAACCTACTTACTTTCCCCGTGTTTCTGTTCTCTAATAAACCACTATAACAGTTCATGCTTTAATATGTCATATTTATTGTCATGTGACTAATGTGACTCTGGCCAAATCAGACCATAAAGCAGAGCGTGCAGTTTTAACAGATCTGATACTGTGTGCTGAAGGCTGATCTGCTTTAAATATTGCCAGGATACATAAATTCATCCATGTTTTTGTAAAAAAAAATATCATTTTAATTCATGTTCCGGACAATATAAAATTCCTGTTGGATGTGTTTAAGAAATGAATACATTTATAGTTAAATACTGATGTGCAGACGACACCATTGGCTGATTTATTTACAGCTTCATTCCTGTCAGTGTTTGCTGTTTAATGAATGTTTCCCCTGTTTGTTGCTTTACCAGTTTGTGTTGTTGAAACTAGCTTAATAGGCCAGTGTGTGTTATATTTCTGTGCTATATCTGTGGGCTGAGCCTGGGAGTGTCCTTTTCATTGGGGATGCACAGCTAACATTTGACCTTTGTTACCCTCATAGTCGGCATATAGTTATATACTGTATTTGATACAGATGTACAGAGTTAGTTGTACACGAGTTGGAGTGGACCAAACCATGTAGCACTGGTTAGGACAAATTTGGTGCCATATAAAATGGGGTGTCAGCACTAGATTGCTAAAATAAAGCTTAAAACGAAATTTTGTTAGCAAAGAAAATCAATAGCCACGTCTTTAGTTTTTTCTACTACAATTGATTGCTAAGCATGACCATTTAAATTGACGACTTAAAAGTGACCGTTGTACAGTTAAAACACTTATTTTAAGTGTGCATATTAAGCCATTAGGCCATTTAAAAAGCCACTCTATCAAAAAAAGGGTTATTCCACATAAACTATACGTACATTTAGCTGAAGTCCATTTGTCTCGCCATAAATGACATTTGAGTGAAATCACATTTTCATGTTCATGGGGCATCTGCCACTTAAATCACTTTGACACTACTACTAGTAGTTAAATGAGCAAAGATGGTGGGAAACGTTTCAGTTTGTCTTTGTTCATGTGATTGTGTTACATTTGAATCTTGTGAGTAGCTTTGTAAACTGTTTGGGTGTTACTTTGTAACACAGTATACACGCCGTTTAAGAAGGACACTTCCAGGCTTTGTCAGTTTGTATTTCTGCTCTTCATGTTTGCTACATAGAGAGCAGTGGCTCCAAACCAGCTGCTTCAGCGTAAGGCCCAGCATTCGCAGTCTCGGCTTCAGTCGCAAGCTAAGTCCCAGCCCCTGGCCCAGCATCAGCAGCCCTCAGCGGGCAGGAGATCCCACCGCACCCTGCCCAAGGACCAAACCCAACTCCTGTCCCTGCAACACGACCACAGACACAGGGAGAAAGAGCAGCAGAGGAAAAGAGAAATGCCTGTGGCATCACCCCACAAGCTAACGGCTAATAGCGGGAACGCTGCTGCTGCCGCCGCCGCCTCTCCCAGGCGCTCTCCAGTCAGTCAGAGCTCAGCGGTAAACCCTGCCCCCCTCAGCCTGCTAGCATCTTCATTTCTTCTACACCCTACCTGGTCTTTTTGTACTTTCAATTCTTGCTCACCGGTGCGAATATCATGCACTTTTTTTATTTGTTGTCAAAGTGCAAACATTTCATTTTTGCAACGCTGTGATGATTTAATCAGCTTTGGCTTTGTTGCTTTTCATGTAAATGCATGATGACAGATGAAAGACTGTCTGTGGGGGGTGGAGGCTGAGGGTGCATGTGGTTTCTGGCTTCTATTCATATCATCGAAGCTAAACCACACAAGGAACATGAACATGACCCACTGGTGTTATTTACAGAAATATGTTGAGACAGTCACATGATCGTGGTGATTGAAAAACATTTGTTTCTGCTCCTGATGTTATATTAGACACTCTCCAAACCACAAATTTCTGAACATGTTGAAAATATTTAAGCCTGAGCGCCTCGAAAGGAGAACAGGTTGAAACACAGTCAGGGCTTCACAGTCTGCCTTTAGGACTTTAATGTCAGGGAAGCAGAGCTGTGTCACAAATATAATATGCTTTTCGTTATTTTTCAAAGCTATACTGTACAATAGTTTATATTAAACATTAGGGCAGTTCAGCTCAGTCTTCAGACTAGTCTAAATGCACAGTTTCATGGCAGCTCTGTTTAGATTTCCTTTATTTTAGCCTTTGGTTCCGTGTAATAAGAGACTATTCATAATATGCTCTTCTCAGAAACACATCTCGCCTGCCATCTCCTCTTTAAATGTTTTGCTTGTGAGGGGCAGCGAATCACAGGAAAGTTTTATTAAAATAGGGTTGGCTTAAAGGGAAAGCTGTATATGTTAAACAAAGACGCCGGTATAAGATAGATGAGGATTATTTTGAACCAAGAACCTGACAAGACGACTCTAGAGTCCAAGAATGAAAAGATGGTGCAAAGATCAGCATAAAAAGTTGCCTTTGAGGTTTTATATTTTCATATGTTGTTACATGCTTGTTGAGAGATTAAAGGCACATTATTACATAAACTAGACCCCCCGATAGTTATGTGGACAATTTCAGTGTATAAACTGTTAAAGAAAATAAACTTTGAAGTAAATCAAGACTTTTTTTTTCACCCACGACACTTCAGAATCGGTTTAATTTGCCCTTCTTCTTCCTGCACAGGCTGTTTTTGTCTCTTTAGTCACTTCTCATTAGAAACATTTTCAGTCTCAGAAATGGCATCTTTCAAAATGTCATACACCTCAATGATAAAATTCAAAACTCATTCCAACCTTCATTCTAACCTCATTTAGATTAGCTCCTAACCAGACGACTGTGTCCGTTTGTTTATGTCTATTTAAAACCAGACATAAACAAACTTAATGGTTTGTTTTATATTTTAGATGGACTTCCACGAATCAAACTTAGCCAAATTGCTTTTAGCTGCTGGTCTTCCTGGCCAGATGCACTCGAGGCTGGGCTCCGGAAGCAGCTCTAGTCCTTGTACCCCAGCCATGCAGAGAGCTCACTTCATCCAGGTATACAACAGATGTGTCACATAGCTCATGCATGCAATTGTGCAATTCTAACACTTTGGGTAAGGCTACAGTCCCACTAGAGAAAACGATGAATGGAGACCGCTGTGTGACCAAAATTATTGCAGTTAACTTTGAAAGGATCACTTCAACGATGGGGACCAAGTCTGGGGACCACTCAGGCAGTTGCTGTCTTCAAACTTTGGCGCATTAAGTTAGTGATGAAATGGCAACAAGGCAGCTTTCAGTTTTGAGTAGGAAAGGGCATTAGTGCAGTTAATTAAGTCTGTTCCCATCAGACTTGTATTGTTGTATCTGAACCAGGGTGGACTCACACAGCCAACAATGCACAATCTGCAGATCAAACGTGACCGTCTTAGACTGGGCCAAACGTGGCAAATGTACCAACAAGCAGACATAGCTTGTTCATTTCTTTAATCACCTGCATTTTATTAAGAGCAAGTTTGCTCATCAAAAATGAGGACATGAATAATGCGTGCAGGGTTTCTGTTTTTCTCTCTGAAACGTGGCATTTAGAATAAATGTTTATAAGGGTGAACTCTTCTGTTACACGTTGCTGTAACAGAATGTGTGCGTGGTCCTGAGAAGAGAGACTCGGGTGGAGCGAAGTTACAAACTATTCCTCCATGAAACCTCGAATCTGTGTCCAGCAGCTTAATGAAGATGCTGTTATTGTGCTGTGTGCATAAATGCTTGCATTTATGTTTTTCTGCAGTATGTGAAACTGAGCTCTGCACCAGGGCCTTGCTCTCTGAAGAAATGTTATGTGCGTAGTTTGTTGGCTTTGCTACTGATGGTGCAGCTGTGATGAGCTGATAGAGAGGAACAGGAACACTCCTGAGTGATAAGATCAACCCTAACTTGACTGTCATTCATTGCGTCATTCACAGAACCTGCGGATCATGATGCTGTGAAACATGATACAGAGCCAGAGAATTTAACGTGTATAATAACTTACAGATGGAAGTTTTAAAAACAGCGTTTTGTCCCGTTGCATTTGGACATTATTTCTTATTAATAATAGCATAGCCGGTCAAATATCAAAGTCCAATTAATAGCTGGATTTTAAGAAAGAAGAAGCTAAGAAATAAATATTGCCGCTCCTCTGTGTGTGCGCACTGCTGAGAAACAACAGGGAGATTGTGTACCGATTTAGTAACGTGAATAAATGCCTGAAACATTGGAAGCTGCTCTGCTCGCTGGAAAGAAGGAAACGACATGGACTGGATCTGGATTCTCCGTCTCCTCACTTTGACACTTCAGTTCTGCTCCGTTTCAATAAAATCTGTCTTATTGCAGAGGAGGAATATGTGGAGCAACAGGACAAAGCCAAAGTTTTGGCACTGCACACAGTTTTGACACATCCAGCCGTGACAATTACGCACTCTTTCTGATCGCAACTCTAATTCCAAATAAATGAGCATTCCTAGCAGCAACTGTCGTGCATGTTGGATGAAGATATGCTTTTCACTGTTAAATTTCAGCAGTGTTCAGTAAATAACCTGCCACAAACCTCTGTAACCTTTGATGGTGCAGATAAGTTGCACTAGTTGCAACATGTTGACAATCTGTCTACATTTATAAATGACATAGCAATTAATCACAACCCTTTGCCAACCTACTAGAAAGTGACTGCCCTCAGTCCAAGTCAGACCAAGATTTGTTGCCTTATGTTGAAAAGTGGTCAACCAGAGGTTGAGGCTGCTGCACGTTCGTGCCACAACTACTTGCAATTAGCCCCAGACAACAAAAACAAAATCACCATCCAACTATTCATTCTCCTTGGGGGGGGGGGGGTGTTGGAGCCTATCCCAGCTTCCAGGGTGCGAGATGTGGGGTACACCCCGAACAGGTCCCCAGAATGTCACAGGGCCTATTTACTCACAAACCTCTGGTGTTTCTTGGTCCCTCGGAGGTTGCCGTCCTGTTTTTACTCCAGTGTGACTGAAGCCTAATATGCTCATTTCATATAAATGCTAAGTGCTGTCACGAGGTACTATTTAATAACTTTTTACATTTTTTTTTTTTCCCCAGAATGAAAATCTTCGTTCAAGTCGGGATGCCCCACACAGCAGCTCTATGTCAGACATGGCCATCTCCCCTTTGTCCCTATTTTCTCCCGTGTCCCCAACTGACAGTGTCTTCTGGGACTCTGTGGAGACTCCACCCAAAGTGAGTATCATCTGTTTTTAGTTTCCAGCTCCTTACTGGGTCACGGTGCAGATTTGATGATTGGCGTGAACGAGACATAAGTTCAAGTGATGCATTTTGTTCTTCTGGCTCCCACCAAAAGAGGAAGTCTTTGTTGTGTCCTGCATCACATGAGCACAGGATAGAGAGTGTGTGTGTGTGTGTGTGTGTGTGTGTGTGTGTGTGTGTGTGTGTGTGTGTGTGTGTGTGTGTGTGTGTGTGTGTGTGTGTATTTGGCATCTTGTATTCTGATCAGTTGCCCAGCTAAGGAAGTGGTGCATTGAGCACGAGGTTGTTATGCGGCTGGTGTGTTTGTCGTCAGTCTTTTGTGTGTGCAGCAGATAGGAGGGGAGGAAGGGACTGTGTTTTACCTCGAGGTTTGTTGTGAAATGCCCCCAACTAAAATCATCTTTCTCACATTTACCTCATCTCACCTGCTAATATCGCAGCTCTCCCTGCTAAGTGATGTACAGAGTCGGTGTATTTACCAACAGAACACCATATGGGGTTGATGAAACAACTTATAAGTACTACAGAGACAGCAGGGGGGTGCAGTAAAGCTGTCTATTTGCTGTGTTATGTTGTTGATCTAACAGGAGGCCATATGGTGCTTATAGAGAGAGCAGCTAATAAGTCAGTACACTTTCTTGCAGTGTGGTGACTTGAACAAAGGAGTGGCTGTGAAAACACTGGGTTAAACAACACTACAGTGTGAGTTATGAGGCAGACATTAATGACTTTTCCTGTTGCCTGAATTCACATAACTTACCCTCTGAATAGTATTATGATGAAACTTAGAGGGCATTTTTATAAATCCCTAAATTTATAAAGGTTTTGAAATGCTCTTAAAAAAATGTTTTAAAAGCCTTATATTTGACGTGTCTAGCACAGTTGACGGGAAGCGATAGACACTGGTGCAGCTCAGTGTCTCTGTGGGTGTCTGCGCTTGTGCAGATGCAGGATGTGGGCAACTCGTGAGAAGGACGATAGGTATTTCCACAGCTCTCTTCCTGCATTCCTGGGTGTGTCTTCCTCTCTGTGACTTTGTCACTTGACCCAAGAGATGAGAGGTTAAAAGGCTGCCAGCTGCTTGACCGAAAAATACACACACACACACACACACAGATCTGAAAAGAGAAATTGCTCCGAGTCAGATAATATTTCCACACTCTATGATTTGGACGTGGCTTTGATGTGTTAAGAGGGGCAACATTGAAATGTTATGAAACAGCAAAGCCAAATGGTCTCATTAGTTTCTCAGTAATAAATGTCTCCCCGAGGGTTATTAAAGATTTTATTGCACTCTGCTCTGCAGCCTTTCAGGCATTGTAAATGTAAAGGTTTCATAACCACATAAACCTTTTTTAGAATTAGCTCTAACATACTTTGACTCGACAGAATATTTAGTTTGAAAACAAAAAATGAAATAATCAGGCGGGAGCTTTGTGTCCACGTGGTTTTATTAAATCTATTTTGCTTTGATCTTTCAGGTCCCAGAGCGCACCACCTCAAAGTATTACTGCAGGGAACCGATGATGGGACACAAGAGGGCCACCTCAAGGTAGAGCACTAATACACGATGTCCATACAAGAACCAGCGCTTGGTTCACCAAGTCTGTGCCAAACGTGGCTGCTAATGCAAGAGGGCTAACACGCGTAGGCTACACTAAGCTAGGTCCTGTTCATAATGTTAGCAGGTTGTCATTACAGTTCAGTCTGTACCAACACAATGAGTCTGGTGTGTGTGCAAAATTTGATTTGTCTGAGGCATTTTTTTGGATAAATTTTTGTATTAAAGTGTGTAATGTGATTGCCATTAGTAGAGACCATCACATGGGTTTGTGACAGAGCAGAAGTGTGTTTAAATGTTACAGGTTGCTCATTTTTCACACACAACAATATTAAAAACTCAGCAAGTGTCACTTGCAGTGACAAACCCACTAATAACTTTTAGCAGCACTTCAGTTTCCTCTTTCTTGAAGCGGTCTTAAGTGCAGTTTTTTGTTTTACAGAAACCCACTGCACACCACATCTGAAGTATTAGACAATAGCAACTAGCTAGTGACCGAATGGGAGCATGCAGCATCTAAATGACTAAACTTTACCCCAGAAGAGAGCAAAAAAAGATCAAATACAAAAACAAAGAGGGAAACTTGAGACTCTTACATGATGACTGTTGGTTTAACAACCATGTTACTCATTGTTTGTGGTGCAAGCAGCCATAAACCTCACCTGGGTTCTTCTTCTGCTGAGAAATGAACTCTTGGAGCAGTCAGCACAGACACAGTGTTTGTTTTTTAAAATGCACACGCCAATGCACGGGAATCAAACTCGATAATTAATGAGTTTTAATGCAGTTTCCAGAATCACAGTGAGAATAATTAGCTTCAGATGCAAAGCGTTGTTCAGCACCTCATTTGTCTACCAGCTCTTCACATTATCACATTATTTTACTGGTGTATATATCATATTTAGTATAAAATATTAATTGATATGAAGTTAAACATTTTATTTTAGTTGTAGTAAACTCTAGTAAACTGTCTTTTAAGCTGGCGAGTCATTTTTCTTTTAATGCCTCATTAGAATAAAATGTCTCTTTACCACAGTGTTGTTGGGCCTGATTTATTGTTGGTGTTTGTGTGGCGCTCTAAGTCAGCATGTCGGCATCCAACTCGGGAGAACAGCAGATCAGATTCATTTAGCCTGGATGATTATTTTTGATGAGATGAAAATAATGGTGGGAAAACTGTCACTGCAGTGACGGCGTGAAGGACGTTCTCAGATCAGGACAGAGAGATGTATAGTGTTGATCACAATTCAGCTCACTTCCTGTCTTTAACTGTCTTTAACTCTACGTCTGTAATGCTGTCTGTGTGTCTCTCTCGCCATCTAGTGGCAGTCCAGTGTCTGCAGCAGATAAGAGTGGGAGGTGTGCGTCCCATGGAGGCTCCTCTTTAAGCAGCAACCATCCAGGTGTGTGACGCCTAAACACAGCTCACCTCACCAACCTCAGTCCTGTGCTGTTGGAGTAACAGAGCACAGTGTCCTTGCCTTAGGGTTCAGTTTATATTGTCCACTAATAATCTTGGTTCTGCCATCTTTGAACAGCTAAAAGCACTCGTGTTATTTTAGTAATGACATGTGTTTGCAGTGTGTTTGTTTTTGACTGCTGTTCTCAGCAGCGCTTCAAATTTACACCTTACTTGCCCATGTGTGTGACACTAGTGTGAACAGCGTATGTGGGTGTGATCTCATGGGTGCCTGGCGTGGGTTGGGGGAGGGGTGTACGCATGCAGAGTACACTGCAACAGAAAGCACAACAACAGAGCGATGTATTCAAAGCCTGCCCTCTCCACCCGCGTCTCCGGCGAGAAAGAAACAACCAAGTCATCTTTTTCAAAGTTCTGCTTGGTGTGTCCTCTGTGGTCGGCAGCAAGGAAGCTGCACTTCTGCTGGGATAGACAGAGGGGAGAATATGTTTAGGATTTCAAAGTTGCCCTCTGCGTGTAGTTGGAAGGAAACACCGTTTGATGCCTCCCACTCAGTTTGGCTGCTGGCCTCAGCCTCCTTTGTTCGAAGTCACAGATCAGACATTGTTCTTGACAGTCGTGTAGCTCCTCTGTGGTTAGACGAAACCTTTATCTACTCATGCTACAACTGAGAGAAAGCCGCTTACTGCTTTGTAAATAGTAAAAGGAGCGTTTGATGTCTCGATTTATTGAATGTGTGATACTTAGGCTTACTTAGGTGCCCCGATGATGTTATTTCCACGAACACTTTTGATTCCAGCAGCACAGAAAAACTTTCTTCTCTCTCACACTTGATGGAAACACAACAAACAGGAGTTGTTTCCTGTTTTGTTCCATAAAACAAACTCTTTATAAACAGTCGTTCTTTGGGTATTTAATTACCTTCTTGAACGACTTGATAACCAACCATAATGTAACTGTCCTGTACTTCATGATTACAATGCATCACATGAATCTGTGGAAAATATAAAGGGACTGTTTGAAGTGACAGCATGACAAAGGCTTTATTTTTAGTCCATTGTTTTTGTTTTACAGGCTAAATCTTTACTGTATTGATTTAGTTTCTATTGTTAAAGTTTGAGCTGCAGTATTGTGCAGTTTTCAGGGAAATGGCTCTAAAACCCAACAGTAAACTACCAACCAGCACCAAGAGCAGTTAGACACCAAGTGGTGAGCCAGATACTTCTGTCATGTGGAGATAAAAAAAAATAGAAAGAAAATAGAGCCCATTTGGACAGAGCGCAGCTGAAATGCTAGTGTATAAGTTTAAGTAAACTGTGGGCTGGACTTTTAAAAGGTGGATTGTAAATCACTTTTCTTCAAATACACTATGAACAACATGCCTCTGTCTTATGGAAACTTAAATAGATTTTTATTTTAAATCACCTGGGCAGTTTAGGGAGTCATTATTAGACATTCCCCTGGAAGCTGCAGGTGGAGCACACAGTAATGCAGTGACATGAAGCTGAGATTGTGGTTCACACATTTGCCTAACGAGCTACAGATTGTCCGTTCGATCCCGGGAGGAGATCCAAGTCATTTCAGTCTTTTCCCAGAGAGGGCATCCAACATTTAAAAAAATCTGTCAAATCAAACATACCGAGCTGCCCACTGTGGTGACCCTTTGTGAATAAGGGAGCATTTTTTAGATTCAGAAGTGTTGCTGTAGACAATGAGGACAGTACAGCTCGAGTAACCTGCCTGAACTAGCTCACAGCCTTGGGTCCATTTACTGTCTTTAAAGCAGTCTGGCAAGAAACAGGTATATTTACACATGAGATTCCACATGTAACTCTCACAGTTACTGATGCTAACATATGTGTGTGTCTTAGGTTACTTCAAGCTGGAAAGTCCCCTCCTGCAGCACCACCCGCACAGGAAGCTGGATAACATAAGCAGTGGACACACACAGGTAAGTGTTGTTGGAGCATGTGTGCAGTCTCACTGGTTTATAGATTTAAATTGTTTCAGTATATCATAGTATCAGTACAAAGCATGCATGCACATGTCATCTAGATCCCTCTTCCTCATTGATTTGAAACTTGCTTCATCACATTAACATCTATGATTTTTCTCTCTGTCCAACTCATTTTTCCGGCTACTTCCTTTTCCTCTCGCAGGGAATAAAACCCGCTCTGGGTCGGCTTAACAAGGCCGCAGAATACTCTTCTTCTAGCGATGAAGTCGGCAGCAGTGATGACGAGGAGCGAAGCGGGTAACCAAACACATCCTCAGTGTATTTATGATACTGTGTTCTTATTGTTAGAGGTTATTGTTTAAGAAATGTTCCCATCAAGCTCATCATGTGTTTGACCTGCTCGACAGTTTCTTTTAGCAAAAAAACAAAGTGTCCTGCTGCACATGAAGGAGTGAAGCAACTCTTTTAGTTTCCAAACAGCACTGTGACGAAACATGTGTTGCAAGATTTTTTTTAAACTGATATTTAGAATCTAGTAAAAAGTCACAAAATTAGTAATTCTGCTGCATCTACTGGGAGAAATGAGCACTGAAATATTTCTGCTAAGTATGAAGAGGAAATGAAATCCAAGTCTGTTTATTGTGATTTCAATTCCTGTGGCAGTAAACCTGGGAGAAGCCAAGTATCTCATTGGTTTAACAGTCCTGAAAGCAAATTAGTGTTACTATAGTGTTGTTTGTGAGTTAGTCACAGTCTGAAACAGCAGGTGTCATTAGGATCCAGTGTGTTGCTTTTATTGCATCAGTCTTGTTTCTAACTATGAAATGTGACATCTGCAGTCGGTCTCTAGTCTAAAATCTCGAGCGGTATGTTTCAAGGTCTGGCATGTCCAATGGAAAAGGGAAATACTTCAGAGGAATACCCGACGGCATCGTCCTGCAGCCTCACCACAATCTCAACCAGGTACTGAGCAAACACAACCACAGAGCACACGTGACTGTCTGCTCTGTGGTCAGTTGTGTAAAAAAGCTGACTTCCTACCTCCCAGCTTTAACATTCATTCATGTGACGCCTCACAGTTACTCAAGTTACATCCTGTCCTGGTATTGCTCTATAGATTTCGCAGTTGGGTTCAGATGACACCTACTTGCTACCAGACCTTCTGCAAAAAATTTCTTCCTCTAGTCCTACCCACAATGCATTCATCCAGCAGCAGCGAGCACGGGAACTCGGCTATTTGAGATCGCCCACATCTCCCGGATCCCCCACACACCACGATCTACATGTAAGTAAAAAATCAGCACAGATTTCTCAGAGCTTTGCTCATTGTGATCATCAGCATCCCTGTTTATCATTCAGTGTACACCACAGCGACGTTCAGCAGTGTTGTTCATAATGAAAACAGTATATCATGCTCTTTATTATGTTGCTGTCATACTGTCAGTTTGTTTCAGTGGTGGATGTTCACGTTGAACACTGTCAAAGTAACTGCTGTGAGCCAAAAGCTCTAAACACTCGATGTCTTTTTACTCTTGAGATCAAATTGCATTGCTTTTGAGGGGCAACCAATCACTCAAAAGTTATCTTATATGATGAGAGCCTTAAAGAAAGACAGAGGATGAATTGATCGGCAGCATCAAAACCCAGTATAACATAAATATGGATTATTTTGAACTATGAATGAAAGCTACTCTAGTAGCATCCAAGAACAAAAGAATTAGATTGTAAATGAGAATAATAGTTGTTTGTTTTTTGTTTGTTTTCAAGACAAAGTGCTGATTAAGTTCAGATGGACTTACAGTTGTATCAGTATTAATGTCCTTGTGTTAATAAATGTCAACAGACTACTTGACATAAACCTTTGGGCTCATTATCATAGCCAAGGTTTAAATAAAGCGACAGACTGCATTAGGTATAAATGTCCACCAGAGGGAGGTAGTGGCACAGGCTGGGAGCTCAGTCTTCCTGGGTTTCAGTTTGGATTTCGAGTTAACGGAACTGTTGTTACTGATGTATGAAAACCATAATTTGTAACTGGTAAATTATATAAATGGTTTATGGTTTCATAACTGTAACTGCCTGTTGTGTTGTTTTTTTTGTTCGTTTTTTATTAAATTATAAAATCTCTTCCCTTGTCACTGTGCTCATCAGGATATCAGCAGTCCTACTGGTAAAAGCCCGACATCATCATCTTCCTCCTTCCTGCCCTTCATTGATCCACGATTGATCCCCATCTCATCACCACCACAAAGCCCGAGTGAGTTTTCTACCAGAGAGCCGAGCTACAGTTTGCTTTGTGAGCACAGTTTAGTTTTATTTTTTAAACTTTTATCTTGAATCATTTTTGCATTCAGCGGGCATTAAGGGCGAGCCACTGAAGAGAGAGAACCACAGGAAGGGCTCCGTGGTTAACGTGAACCCAACCAACATTCGACCACAGAGCGACACGCCAGAGATCCGAAAGTACAAAAAGAAGTTCAACGCGGAGGTTCTGTGTGCTGGATTATGGGGTATGTAGTTTTTATGTGTTTTATGTTGTTTGTGTTTTTAAATGAAGTAGATTTTTTCAGAAAATGATACAAACTGTGTCAGTGTTGATATTTTCTGTTTTGACGTGCAGGTGTGAATCTGCTGGTGGGCACAGAAAACGGTCTGTGGCTGCTGGATCGAAGTGGTCAGGGAAAGGTGTACCCGCTCATCAGCAGGCGACGGTTTCAACAAATGGATGTACTTGAAGGACTCAATGTGTTGATTACTATATCAGGTATATGTGCTGCATGTTCAAATGTTCAGAGCTACAGAAACAGTGACACAGAGTGCAGCACTCTGCCCTGCATAATGATTAAACTCTGCTTATAAGTTTTGCACAGTAGTTCAAAGAGACCACATTGCTGTAACTGTTTAACAGGTTTCTTCAGGTAAAACTGACACTTGTGTGTGGATGACTGCTCGATATTCGTGCTCTGTTCTGGTTTGCTCCGTCACCTCAAAGAAACTGATTAAAACTTTGTCACACTGAAGCAGGAGTCGTTTGCATCCTTCCCTCTCTGTCTGTAGGAAAAAAGAACAAGCTGCGTCTCTACTACTTGTCCTGGTTAAGGAATAAAATCCTGCGTAATGACCCGGAGGTGGAGAAGAGACAGGGCTGGACGTCAGTGGGTGATTTAGAGGGCTGTGTCCACTATAAAGTGGGTAGGTACACTAAATAAAAACAGAATGATATTTTACAGAGCTTCAAACTAATGCAGGTTACAGATGTTGTGTATGTAGTGATCTTTAGGAGCTACGTGTAGAATATGTGGTCTCAGATTTTTCACGCTCCTTACCGCTTGTTTTGTTTCTGTTTTTCTGTTTTCTAGTGCGTTATGAGAAGATAAAGTTCTTGGTGATTGCCTTGAAGAATGCTGTGGAGGTGTACGCTTGGGCCCCAAAACCCTACCACAAATTCATGGCCTTTAAGGTTGGTAACAAATTAATGAAATGCAATAAAAATAAGAGATACTGAAGATACAAGTTCATCAGTCTGTGGAGCTGTGAAATACTAATATCATGGAAAGTACTACTTATTCTACTTATTAGAAGGTTTTTTAGATGTTTGTAGTAATCGTAAAGTCACACAGTAGTTTATCTCAGACTTTTCTTCTAGTTGAAAACTTGAAGCACCTGCCTCTTTACTAACCAGTGTGTGTAGTCATGTAAACAGGCTGACATGCTGGTTTTAGCATGCTAACTAACAGCACTACAGACAAAGTGAAGCTAAGTTTAACATCGCGGTGTAACACCTAAGAACATCAGCCTGCTCAGCTTTCCTTTCCATTGATCGATTCATTGATTAAGTGGGTTATTGCTGTGTTATTTCCACAGTCGAACACTTGCATGTACACAGACAGGACACATCAGGTTCTGGGTCTCATAACCACAGACTCTCAGCAGAGATGTGTCCCATTTCTGTTTGTCCTCTGAGGCCTGAACTACTTTCTCTTCCATACTGTGTCACAGGCCAAAAATGGAAGAATTAGGTGGACTATCTTAGGATGGCAGCTTTTGTGACACTGCATTATTATTAATGGAGCAGTTTCACTTTAGATTATGTAATTAGGCTAATGTGCAAACTTATGTAACTTAATCATCGTGTCTGTGTGTCTGCCCAGTCCTTCAGAACTCTGCCTCAAAAGCCCCTTTCTGTTGACCTGACAGTGGAGGAAGGTCAAAGGTTAAAGGTCATCTACGGCTCCGTGTCCGGTTTCCACGCCATTGACGTAGACTCTGGGACACCATATGACCTCTACTTGCCGACACATGTAAGCATCTGCTCCGTTCTTCGTACTCTTTGAGGATCGTGTCATCACTTCGACTCAGGAGGTTGTGCGTGTCTGTTTGCATGTTTTGTTGGCACTGTTTTTGCCATAAAGGTGTGTGTCGAGTCTGTGATGTGGGATAGTTTGAGGGTTTCCCTGCTCTGCTCCATCACTGTGGCTCAACCTGTAGTTGTCATCGTGAGAGTTTTACATCTTTAAAGACTAAACCGATGTCTGATCTCTGTACCTGCAGCTTTCTGTTAAAGCAGCTTATTAAGTCATTTTCTTTCATTGATCAGCTCTCCAGTCGACCATATCACCTCACTCTTCATCTCTTAGTATACATCTCAGTATAGCCCTCCTCCCACTCACAGTCATGTCAGTCATTACTTTCCTGCATTTCTGCTCTGTTCCCTCCACTCTCCTCCAACACAGTCGATGGCTGTCAGAAACTATTCTTCCATCCGCTTCCTTTTCTCCCTCCCACTGTCACTCTATCATTCAAGGTACCACTGTTCATTTTCTCTTAATTTCGTCGTCTCTCTTTCTGCATTTACCAAAATATCATTGCTCGCCCTCACTCCGTCTGTGGGAACTAATATCAAACTGTTGTGACTCACCTTCATATGTGGTGTTTGAACTTTCATTAGATCTGCAGACACTGACTTGAGTGAAGCTGCTGTCACAGATCTTTTATGCGTGTACGCTGATTTTTCAGCTGATATTGAAATGTGGATGTTTTGACGAGGCACTGGAGCGTTTTATCATTTCCTGTGTGGCTGTGGAGGAGTTTGATTTGTGATGTTCTCTAGAATTAGCACAGCTTGACCCAACAGATTCATCACAGACTCGACACCGCCTCCTGAAAATGAGACCGACACGAGCAATGACACTAAAGGAGTCACATGCTTTAGTGTCATTGATGCAGGTGGCTGTAACTCAGGTGGGAGAGTAGGTCACCTACTAACAGTGGCTGGTGGTTCGATCCCAGTCTGCTCCAGTCTGCATGCCAAATATCCTTGGGCGAGATACTAACCCCATGTTGAAGCCGTCTGTTTACCATTTACATGTAGAAGGTGCTGTTCTCAAACTGTAACAAACCACAGCAGACCCGGTGACATTTTCAAGCTTTTCAGCTTTATTTACACCTGCACAGCAACAACCAATACAGGATCCGGTATAAGCTGGCGAGGCGTGATTGTAGATGCCACTCAGGCGCATCCATCTCACCTGCAGTGGCATCGCAAGCCACACCCTGCCACGTAAACCTAATAAACT